TGAATTGCACAAAAATGTGGTCAACGAAGAACATTATCATTTAGACGAAATTTCGACTGAAAAAATTGCTAAACAAATAATTGAATTGTCATATCTTCTGTTAGTTTTTCTACAGCAATTGTTCTTATATAAGTAAAAATATTATCAAGTGAACCAAGATAATGAAGAATATCATCATGATTCATAGTATTAATCAGACTATTCAATTTAGTTCGATCATCATTTGTTAATTGTTGTTGTTGTTTAATACGAGCACGTACTTCATTAATTAAAGACGTATTTTCACCATATAATTCAAATTGATATGTCAAAAAATTTAATTTATCTGTATCAATTAAAACTAACTTACTGATCATATTTCGAAGTGTAATTTCCATTTCTTCATAATCATAAATAATATCTTTACTTTTTCCATATTGATAATTGAGGACAAGACTATCATTAATCAATTTTCTATTCAAATCATTTCGGTCAAGAGAAAAAATATGTTCTGGTCGAATTGATTGTAAAGGTACACATTGTTGTTTAGTTTTTGTTGTTGTTTCAATCGTATTTTGAAAATAATTGACAATTTCATTTTGTAACTCAGCTATTGTTTTCAAACATGCTGGTAGAAGAATACTATCATCTCTTGATGAAGTCAATAATAACATTGCAATACTTGTATTCTCGGCAAATTTCTCTTTGGAAACAACATGTTCGAATTTCGGTGTTTGACATCCGTAACGAACTTCTTTGAAAGTTAATGCATACCATGCATCAAGAAAATCTTCGAACAATTTTTTAGTTATATCTCGATCATTGTCTTGTGTCAAATAGTAAATCATTTTTGTTTGAACAGCATCAATTCGTTTGATTCGATGATTTAATTTTTCAATTAAATAATTACTGAAAGTAACAATTGGATACAAATGTTGAATATTTGTATAATCATCTAAACGTTTAAGAAGATATGTACTAACTGGATAAATTTTTTCAGCATATGGCAAATTTTGCATTTCCAAAATAAATTCATCCAATGGATTCGATGCCTGAAATGTGTACTCATCTGATATGTACACTGAATAATCTTTATCAATAACGATGCAACCAGAGCTATTGAGTTGATCGAGACGATTATCTTGTCCATGACTACCTGCTACTACTGTTCCATTCGTATTTCCTGTTCTCCATCGTCTTACTTCATGCTTCTCGTAGTCAGAAATATAAAAATACCCATCATTATTGATTGTTAGTCCTGTGCCGTCAACGTCTGTGATGATGATCTCTCCATTTATGCCATTTCGACGAGGCCATCGCACAACACGTCTATTACCATGATCACAGATAATAAGACAATCTTTCCTTTTATCGACAACCACATATGTTGGATTATTTAGCTGATCAGTTCGCTTTCCTGCTCTATTTCCACTCGCCACGATTTGACCATCTGGTGATC